GGCCCCAGCCAAACTGCAACAAAAAATAGCCAGGTATTGTGGCAGGTACCTGTAGTTCCAGCTACTCGGCAGGCTGAGGCAAGAGAATCGCCTAAGCCCAGGAGTTGGAGGTTGCTGTGAACTGTGTGATGCTGCCATGTCACTTTACAGAGGGCAGTAAAGTGAAATTCTGTATCTACACACACACACACACATACACAAAAGACAGAGTCTCACTCTGCTGTCCTGGATAGAGTGCCATGGCATCATTATAGCTCATTGCAACCTCCAATTCCTGGGCTCAAGGATCCTCTTGCCTCAGCCTCCCATGTAACTGGGACTATAGGCATGTGCCACAATACCTGCTAATTTTTTCTATTTTTTTCATAAAGGAGTCTCTTTCTTGCTCAGGCTGGTCTCAAACTCCTGAGCTCAAACCATTGAGGATTATAGATGTGAGCTAATGTGCCTGGCCTGTCATGACAGTTCTAATCAGTGGGTACCATAATCCATTTTCTTTTTTCCTTTTTTAATTTTTTAAATTTTTTTTTTTTATGAGTCAGAGTCTGACTATGTTGCCCTCAGTAGAGTACCATGGTTTCACAGCTCACAGCAACCTCAAACTCTTGGGCTTAAGCAATTCTCTTACTTCAGCCTCCCAAGCAGCTGGGACTACAGGTGCCCACCACAATGCCTGGCTATTTTTTTGTTGCAGTTGTCATTGCTGTTTTAGCAGGCCCTGGCCAGGTTCTAACCTACTTGCTTTGGTGTATATGGCTGGTGCCCTAATTGCAGAGCTATGGGCACTGAGCCTTCCTTTCTTTTATTATTTTTAACATTTGTGTGTTTATTTATTCATTTAGAGACAGAGTCTCACTGTAGCCCTGGGTATGGCATCATAGCTCACAGCAACCTCAAACTCCTGGGTTTGAGCGATCCTCTTATCTCAGCCTCCTGAGTTGCTGGGACTACAGGCACCCACCACAATGCCTGTCTAGTTTTTCTACTTTTAGTAGAGACAGGGCCTTGCTCTTGCTCAGGTTGGTCTCAAACTCCTGAGCTCAAGCAATCCACCAGCCTTGGTCTCCTAAAGTACTAGGATTTTAGGCATTAGGCACCATGCCTGGACATAATCTTACATGCCAATACTGGTGAGTCCCATGCCAACCCCAAAGGCTGTGTGAACTACCATGCCAAATGTGTTAAGTAGCAACACACCAACTCCAATTGGGCCTCATGTTAGCCAACTACAGTTAAGTTCTATACCAACCTTGTTAGGTACAGCTATGCCAATCCCCCTACATGGCCAGCTCTGGGAGCCACATTCCCCAATCAGGACCTCACTCACTGACCAGCGCAGTTCCCAGAGGTACCTTGGCTGTGGATCCCGCAGCGTCCCTCCATCCATGGCAGCCTTTTCCCGTGCCAGCACCCTCCATGCTTCCTTTTCAGCTGCCTGCAGGTCAGCCATGAGGGCTTCCTCCCCTGCTCCTGAGTTGGCCTCACACAGAGCAAGCAGGACCCCGTATGCCTCCTCACGGTGCTCGCTGTTGGACACAAGTTCTGAGTGCTTTAGGACACCCAGATCTATTTTGCTGTGTAGGTGCCAGTCCCCACTTGCTACTGAACCCCTGGCTTCATCCCTCCTGACCTCACCTTCGGGAGCATGCAGAATCCCTCTGCACCCCCAGACTAGGATTGCCTTTGATTAACTTCTGTGAGGGAAAGTGCTCTCTGACAAGGGCTCTGTTTCCCTCTGAAGTTTGGGGCCACCCAAGGAGAACTCATTGTTTCCCTAGCCAGTGACATTACTGGTAGGGTGCACTGACCTGTATTGCAAGGCTAGATGCAGTGCCGTGGCCTCAGCTTCCCGCTGGCTCAGCTGCATGCTGAGGCCCTCACAGCGGCCCTTGTACCCCTGGAGCACAGCTGACAGCAGACGGTTAAAGCATTTGAGCTTCTCGATACTCCTGCCTCCGAAGGCGGGTAAGAGGGAAAGTGAGCCTCTCAGGGCCTGATTTCCGCTCTCCTTCTCCCTCATGCTCCAGCTCCAGACACATAGGTGGTGTGACGGTGCCCTTATGAGCTCAGCATTTGAAGCTCTTACCCCTGGAGCTGTTCCATCTGGGTTTCCATGATGTGGATCTCAGGGGAGAGGGCCTGGGTGGGGGGAGACCCAAGAATCTGGGTGCTGGAATCACTCTGAAGGTGCCAGAGCAGGGGGTGAGCCAGGGACATGGAGTCCTGCAGGGAAGAGGTAATGTAATTCACCTAGATTATTGCCAAGAGCTCAGGATTGTAAGTTTAGCCTTTTTCCAACCCCAGAAACTGTTGGAACCCATGACCAGGATTTGAATCTCATTCCCTTGAATGCTAAGGACATGAGGACCATGAGTTTGAGCTTCTCACACTCACCTGAGTCCCCCAGGGCTCCCTGTCTGCCCCAGAGCTGCTGGAACCACTGCCTGAGCCACCCACTTGGCTGTGGGAGGGAAGTGGGAAGGGCTCCAGCCTCAACAGAGAATCCTGCAGCTCCTGAACCTGGGGAGGATGAGGATGAGGGAGGATGTCAGGCTGGAGGCTCTAATCACTTACCAGCTCTCCTCAAGGTCTATTCCTGGGGATGTGGCACTAGCCCTGGCTGAAAAGCAGGAACCCTGGATACTCACCCTGCTAAATCCTCTACCATTATCACCTTGGGGATGTTTCTCAGCTACTGGAGACTCTGTTCCCAGAAGAGAAATGGGCCTTACTCTGGAGGGAGATGAATCCCACTCCTTGTGCTGTCTGCCCTTTTTCTCTGAGTCTCTGTACCAGCCCAAGATGAGAGCTTCCCTCCCATGATGTCATTCAGCCGCATGGGATTAAATACCACCCACATGCTGAGGATGCTCAAATGACTCCCTCCTGCCCTGACAGCTCTCTGAGCTTTGGACTCAGAGGATAGCTGCACTGTTGATGACCCCATGTGGGTGTCTCAGGAGCATACCAAGCTCATCAAGAGCCTAACATTTCCTGGTCTCTCCCCAGTCAAACCTGCCTACCCTGCAGTCTCCCCAGCTCTCTCCCCCAGTTCATCAGGCCCCCAAACCTAAAGTTGTCCTTGATTTCTCTTTAGCTATTTTTTCTTGATTCAGTGTCTAACTCTGCTGTCCCCGATATAGTGCAGTGGTGTCATCATAGCTCACTACAACCTCAAACTTCTGGGCTTAAGCAATTGTCCTGCCTCAGCCTCATAGCTGAGACTGCAGGTGTGCACAGCCACACATAGTAAAATTTTCTATTTTTGTGGAGATGGGATCTCGCTCTTGTTCAGGCTGATCTCCAAATCAGGAGCTCAGGGGATCCTTCCACCTCAGCCTCTCAGAGTGATAGGATTACAGGCTTGAGCTACTATACCCAGACTTCTCTCTAGGTCCCATGCCCACATCCATCAGTTCCATCTTCAACATCACCCAGAATCTGCCCAAATCTCTCCACCTTGCATGTTTGGGCCAGTGAAACCACCTCCTCTATCTCTAAGATTCCTTCCTCCCCTCCATAGACTGTTCCTCCCGTAGCAGCCAGAGGGTGCGTGTGCTGGCTCCCACCTCACTTAAGGCAAAAGCCCAAGTCCACCCCCAGAGGCCATAAAGTGAAATCTATGCTTGTCACTTCCTAGTTCTTGTCTCTCTGCACTCCTCTTTTTTTCTTTTTTTTTGAGACAGAGTCTCACTTTGTTGCCCTTGATAGATTGCCATGGTGTCATAGTTCACAGCAACCTCAAACTCTTGGGCTCAAGCAATTCTCTTGCCTCAGCCTCCTGAGTAGCTGGGACTACAGGTGCCTGCCGCAACACCTGGCTATTTTTTAGAGCTGGGTTTTGCTCTTGCTCAGGCTGGTCTTGAACTCCTGAGCTCAGGCAATCCACCCACCTCAGCCTTCCAGCCTCCTGGATTATAGGCGTGAGCCACCCCACCTGGCTCCTGCACTCTTTCTGTTGCTTGCTTACTCTGTTCCAACCTGGTCTCCTTGCTGTTCCTTGAACATGCCAGTCACAGTTCTCTCTCAGGGTCTTTGCATATGCTGTTCCCTCTGCCTGGAATGTTCTTCCCCCAGATCCTTAAATTGCTCCTCCCTCACTTCCTTCTGGTCTCTATTCAAGTGTCACTTCCTTGGTGGGCTTCCCTGAGCATTGTAACTATGATTGCAGGTACATTTGTTTGGTTTGGTCAGTGGACCCAGCAGTCAATGCTCCATAAAGGTTCTCTTTTAATGAACAAATAAATGAATGTTGCCTATGCCAGGTCTGACTCTTCTTTCAGACAGGGATCCCTGGGGGGTCCAGGAATGTCCCACTCACCTCCCTCTGCAGTGTCTCTTTCTCTGCCCGGATGGCTTGCAGGGAAGCCTGTGTGCGGAGCAGCTCATCCTCACGGCTGCCCAGGGCCAGCCGGAGCCAGGTATTCCTCTCTGCTAGGGAAGCTGCTTCCCGCTCACAGCCCCTTGCCGCTTCGTGTTTGCCAAGGGGCCCTGGGACCCCCTTGCTTCTGTCTTCCACCTCCATTTTTCTAGGACAGCTTGGGGGCCGGTGGCGCCAGACAGCAGCAGCTGCCTCCAGGGAGCTCAGAGCATTCTGGAGGGTCTGAAACATATCAGGGGTCGCCGTCCCAGAGAGGACAGATTCTCTGTCCTGTAGGGCTGCCTCTGGGGCCTGGTGGGCTTCCACTGCAGGCTTATGGGGTCCCTCAGGAACTGAGGCCAGTCCTCTGCCAGAGCTCCCATTGGTCTCCTTGTCGGTCCTGTGAACATCAACTTAGCAATTGAGCCACCCAGTGCTGGGCAGGGAATTCTGGGGCTAAAACATCAGGGTCCTTGGGAGGTATGAGCAGGGCAGGGAGTTGGCAAGAGCTGGGTGTTCTGAAGCTGGTGACTGGCCAAGACAGGGAGGAGGCTGGACAGTGGTCCTCAAGAGAGGCCTGGGGCCGGGAAAGCAGAGTAAAGAATGCGCTGGAGTGTGCAAGGTAAACAAGGGTATCTAGCCAGAGGGCACAGTCTAGGCAAACACCTAGACGGGAGAGATGGAAGGTTCTGGAAATGAGATCTTCTGCGGTGGCTAGCATATAGGGGCTGTGTGTCAAGACCAAAGATGGCATTATGCAAGGCTTTGAAAGTCTGGCTGAAGAGGGTCATGGGGAGCCAAGGCAGCTCTATGAGTAGGGGAGGGGAATTGGCAGGTCTGTGGATGTAAAGATGTGCCTGGAGTGTAGGGCAGGGACGAAGCAGGTCTTACCAGGTCCCCAGGTCCTGGCCACTGACTTCAGCTATGGGTCCCAACAACTCTGGCCCAGAGCTCTGGGGAGGCAGGGCAGGGCTGGGCTTGAAGCCGCTGGCTGCCTCCACCTCTTCTGAACTCTCAGCCACAGGATCCAGTTCACCCTGCAAATGACCCCCAGGTCCCAGCTCTGAGCCAGGCAGAGCTGGGCCTTGGGGTCCTGTGGAGCTGGGAGCTGGGTGTGCTAGGGAAAGGGTAACACTTACTGGTGGAGCGTGCCTCCCTCGCCGGCTCCGGGGCCGTGTGGCCCAGGTACTCATTGCTGTTCAGAGATGCCAAATGCTCCTTTCTCGCCACCTAAAAACACAGCCTGCTCTCAGCTATTGCCTTCGTTGTCCTGGGAAAATGATGGCCTAATTTCCTCTTCTGTGAAATGGGGCATTGAATCCTCCACTAGCGGGGATCTTGAGTTTCTAGTGTTGATTAGGCATGTATGAATGCCTCCCTTGACATGTAGCTCACTACCTCAAGTTTGCCCTGACCTCCCCTTCTCCTCTTCCTTCTTCACTTTCACTATTCTGTGCTCCCCTCCCTCTCCTATCTGGACCTGGGACAGGCACTCCAAGAGTCCCCTCTCCTTCCTAGGTTCCTCCTAGATCAGAGGCTCCCAATCCTGGAGTTCAGTCCCATCACCCCTGTCTATCTCTCTGTTCTTCTGGGAACACCTTGAGCTGAAGTCCGAGTCCCTGGACACTCTTGGGGTCACTCTGGGCACTGCCTGCTCAGGCTTGTGATGGCCAAGGCTAGTCTGGGAGGGGCTGGGAAACAGGAAACCCCCCTCCTTGATCATGTGACTTATTATTGTGCCGTTTCCTTCTTGAGGACTACGGCTTCCTCCAGCTTCAGAGGGGAACATGTGTTTAACTCCCAAGGTGGCATCCCCTCTAATCCA